GCAACCTCCTGCCTCGCCCGGGGCCGCAGCAGTGACAGTGACAGGCTGGACACCAACTCCATAACAGATCCCGTCTCCATGGAGGGCAGCTCCTGCTGCAGGGAGCTTTCCAGGGACACATTGGGATCCTGCAGCCCCCCCCACTGCCATCCCCCCACCCCTGGGGTTGAGGGACCCCCTCTCCCACCGTGCTGGCACAGGGGCAATGACCCCCTCGGCCTCGGCTCCCTCCAGGACACACGTTGCCAGCACCACCACGGCTCTTCTACTTCATTTTTATTCCCAGTCCGAGCACGTCGGCTCTGCCTTCACCAGTGCTCAGGGTAGCAGGGAGAAAGGCAGGGAGTGGCAGGGGGAAAGCACGGCCGGACACCGACTCCAGGGAAACTACATGCTCCTTCTTTCCTAACAAACTACATCCCGGTGCCTTGCTGTCCCCCCCATTCCCTGCTGTGCACAACCACGGTTTGAGGAAGGACGTCCGCTCCCCACCGGAGCCCACTTGGAAGAGGAGAGCAACGGCCTCCCCGCTGCCCGCCCTGACCCCGTCCTCCCAGCACCCGGGAGAGCCCAGGCAAGAGCCCCCTGGGGCAGCACATCCATCCCCTCGATCCCAGCTGTGCCCACCCTGGCAGTGCCAGGAGGCCCCAGGTGCGGATACGGGGTCTGCACCCAGCGCAGGGGCTGCAGGAGCCTGGCCTGGAGCTGAGTGGGGAAACAGGGCTCTGCTGCCCGCGTAACCGAGAAACTCGGGAGGAGGGAGCTGGGCCCCGGCCGCCCCTGCGGCTCCGCACGGGGCCCAAACGCTCCCTGGGGCTGGGTGGGAGCCCCGGAGCCCCCTCGTGCTCAAACCCGGCCGAGGGGCCGTCTAAACCCTCCCACTCGCTCCTGTCGGAGAGCGAAGGCCCCGGGAACAACAAACACGGGTTCCACTACCCTCTAGGTCCCTTCTCTGGAAAGAAGAGCTACGGGAAGGCGCTGCCGGGGCCATCGCGGACAGTCCGGAGCCGGCGGCAGGAGGCGGGTGAGCCCGGGAGGAGGCCGCGTTCCCAGCGGAGCCCCCGGCCCGGGTGGACATCCCGGCTCGATCCGACGAGCGTGGAGGGCGCCGGAGGGCGG